ATGGGGTTTTACCATGTTGGCCAGGCTGGTCTCGAACTCCTGACCTCATGTGATTTGCCGGCCTTGGCCTCCCAAAGTGCTGAGATTTCAGGCATGGGCCACTGCACCCAGCCTCAATTTCCAGATTTGTATGTGATCTCTCCAAATTTTTAAATATTGGAAACTTCTTAAAAAACAAAACAATATAAACAACCACAAAGACCCATGTGCACCAAACATACCTCGTGAAGCTGACCTGACCAGCAGGTGGCTGTTGCGTGACCTCTCAGGAGGACGCTCTCTCCCTTCCCCCAGTGGTTGCAAAATATTTCAGACAGAAAACCAGAGTTCTCTCTGGGTGTAGTCGGTTGGCTCAGAAGCCAATGGAGCCTGCTGTTTGTATAGCCCCGTCCTTCCCCTTTCTTTCTGTCAGTTGTTTTTGGGAGGATTTTCAAACTGCTCTGGAGAATGTTTCTGCCTTTTAGTTCCCATGTCGGGTGACCTGTAATTTCCATGTTGGCTGGGGATGCCAGGAGTTGGCAGATGCTCATTCCAGAGCCCCCGTGGACTGAATTCTGCCACTTCTGCAAAGTCATTTAAAAGTAGTGGGTGAGCCAGGCACAGTGGCTCACACCTGTAATCCCAGAACTTTGAGACGCCAAAGCAGGCAGACCACCTGAGGTCAGGAGTTCAAGATCAGCCTGGCCAACCTGGCAAAACCCTGTCTCTACTAAAAAAAATACAAAAATTAGCTGGGCGTGGTGGTGCACGCCTGTGGTACCAGCAACACAGAAGGTTGAAGCAGGGGAATCACTTGAACCCAGGAGGCAGAGGTTGCAGGGAGCTGAGATCACGCCACTGCACTCCAGCCTGGGTGACAGAGCAAGACTCTGTCTCAAAAACAAAACAAACAAACAACAGCAACAACAAAAGTGGAGAGGAGTCCAGCAAGCTATGCTTGGGGGAGAGAAAACTGATGTTTTGGCTCATGCTACTGGTTCTCTTTGGAAAAACACATGCCCTTCCTTTGTGGGAACAGCCCCTACCCTCTTCTGTGGCTCTGAAGGGACCACCAGTCATGGAACCAGGACCCTGAGCATGGGATTGGCTCCTGACAGGCACATGACTTGAGCCAGGTCAATTAGAGGCCTTCCTTGGGATTCTGTATATGGCCGTTAGGAGAGATGCTCTCTCATCCTGCTGAGGTTTGCTGAACTTACATGGGAAGGGACAGGCCTATGGAGAGACCAACACATAGACAACAGCTGGGCTGGGAGATGAAGTGAGACAACCCTGACATTAAGTGAGTCCCTTGATCCAGCAGTACCAGAGGCTAGATCCTCTTAGCTATGTGAGCCTATAGTATCCATCTCTCTCCTAATGTGTGGGATTCAGCCATCTGCAACAACTACCACAAAATCCCAGAGTGTGCAGGGGAACCTTGGTTCTCTTCCCATAGAGCTAACTTACTTTTGTTCTGTCTCCTGAAACATCAAGGTCCCGTGAAGTTAAGCCACGTGTCCAAGGTCACCACTGTTCGATGGCTGGGCAGCATTTAACCCAATTTTATCTAATCCGATGTTTCAGGCTAATTTCTCTAGACCAGAGCTCCTCAAATGAGGCTCTCCAGGCTCTCAGGCCAGCAGAGAGGTTTCCAAAGAAGCCACCGAGGATAGAAGCGGACACGGTGGATAACTCCAAAGATCTTCACACTCTCTGGATGATTAACAATGCTTGAGCACTTCCCTTTTGCAAGAAATTTGCAAGTTCTTTTCCAAAAATCAACTCTTTTTCATCCCCATAAGCTATGAGCTGGGGCAGATGACATCCCCATTGAACAGATGAGAAAACAGAGGCCCAGGAAAGGAATTGCTCAGGCTATATAGTAAATGCTCAGCTGTCTGCGTGATATGAGTCACCTCCCAACCCTCCACCCAGGACTTAAAATACCCCTGCTGTTTCCTGCCTGTCAATCTGCTGTGAGTTTCCCATTCATAGGAACCTGCAAGGCATTCTGGCAGGAACCATATCTTGAACCTGATCAGTTACTGCTTAGTGGGATCAGCTGGAAGGCAAGATTGGGGGGTGACAGTGCAGCTGTGAGTAGTGTTGGGGGCTAGACTGGGGGTCAAAGGATGAGCTTTTCTGACAGAGCAGCAGGTGAGTTCTTGATCGCCACACACTTACCTCTGGGCTGTGCTGCGTTTTGAGCCGGGAAACAAGTTCTGAGGAGTTTTCGCTCCCAAGTGACCAGAGATCTTTTGGTCTCAGTGGCCTCCTGTAGCCTCCCCAGACCAGCCTGCAAAAGAGGGGCACTAGGGTAAGCTCCTCCTGCCATTCACCACTGCAGGATCCTGGCCAGGCCAGTTGCTATGTGACCCTGAGTAAGTCACTTTATCTCTCTGTACCTCTACTGGCCCTTGGATAAAAAGAAAGCAATTCACTAATTCCACCTAACATTTGCCGGGCACTTGGTTCACAGAGATTGTCTCATTAATTTTTACATGAGTGCACAGGGTGTTTTTTTTGTTTTGTTTCATTTTTGAAATGAAGTCTTGCTCTGTTGCTCGGGCTGGAGTGCAGTGTTGCAATCTCGGCTCACTGCAACCTCCACCTTTTGGGTTCAAATGATTCTCCCACTTCAGCCTCCTGAGTAGATGGAATTACAGGCACCCACCACCACCACACCCAGCTAATTTTTGTACTTTTTGTAGAGACGGGGTTCAGCATGTTGGCCAGGCTGATCTTGAACTCCTGGCCTCAGGTGATCCACCCAACTCAGCCTCCCACAGTGCTAGGATTACAAGCATGAGCCACCACACCAGCCCTGTAAATTGAGAGTTTATAATTGCATAAATGTATGAGGATATTATTACAGATCTATTTTACAGATGGAGAAGGAAATAGAGTTACAGAGAGATTAAGTGGCTAAAGCAAGGGATATCCCTTGGCAAGGGAAAGAGACATTTCCCTGTGAGTCAGAAGTCCAGCATCCAAAACTGTCATTGTAGAAGAAGCCTGAATTCCTTCCTCAGCTTTATTTTCTTCTTATTATTATTTTTGAGATGGAGTCTTGCTCTGTTGCCCAGGCTGGAGGGCAGTGCTGCAATCTGGCTCACTGCAGCCTCGGCCTCCCTGGTTCAAGTGATTCCCATGCCTCAGCCTCTCGAGTAGTTGAAATTACAGGCACCTACCATCATGCCTGGCTAATTTTTGTGTTTTTAGTAGAAATGGGGTATCACCATTTTGGCCGGGCTGATCTCAACCTACTGGCCTCAAGCAATCCTCCCACCTCAGCCTCCCAAAGTGCTGGGACTACAGGTGTATGCCACCACACCCAGCTAATTTTTGTGTTTATAGTAGAGGCAGGATTTTGCCATGTTGGTTAGGCTGGTCTTGAAGTCCTGGCCTCAAGGGATCTGTCTGTGTTGGCCTTCCAAACTGCTGAAATTATGGATGTGAGCCACTGTGCCTGGCCTCAGGTCTCTTTAATCTTTCTGATGACACCAGCCAGAATGTCTTGCCTGGTTCTGGTCTCTGACTCTTCACTAAGCCTCACCAAGTTCCCTTTTCTACTTTTTTTTTTAAATTTTTTGAGATAGAGTCTCATTCTGTCGCCCAGGCTGGAGTGCATTGCTGTGATCTCGGCTCACTGTAGCCTCTGCCTCCCATGTTCAAGTGATTCTCCTGCCTCAGCCTCCTGAGTGGCTGGGATTACAGGCACCTGCCACCACACCTGGCTAATTTTTATATTTTTAGTAGAGACAGGTTTCACCATGTTGGTTAGGCTGATCTCGAACTCCTGACCTCAGGTGATCCACCCGCCTCAGCCTCCCAAGGTGCAGGGATTACAGGCAGGAGCCCCCGTGCCTGGCCACCAAGTTTCCTTTTCTAACGCAGAGCCAACTTCAGGAAGCAACTGTTCTGACACAGAAATTATTAACGTGGCTTGATTTTCCCTGGAATTATTTTTGGAGTTCTCCTATATGGCAAGTGATGCTACAGATTTTTCCTATTTTGGCAGTGATAGAAAGTTTTTTTTTAGAAACAGTTTGTTAGAGTAAAAAAAGTGATTCAATTTAATTATTGCTCCAATAGGACAAAAAAGCATGAAGAGTGGTCCATACATGCTTAAGTTTGGGAAGCAGGGGCTGGACCCCCCAGTAGGGCTGTTTAGAAAAGGTTTCTACCAATTTCACACACCCAAAGCCTGATATTTTTCATTTATTTAATAAACACTTAGGCCAGGTGCAGTGGCTCATGCCTGTAATCCCAGCACTTTGCGAGGTCACGCCATTGCACTGCAGCCTGGGCAACAAGAGTGAAACTGTGTCTCAAAAAAAAAAAAAAAAAA